TGTTGGATCTCTACTGGATCTTTCTCTCGATGTCTCGACTTGTGCGGAAGACTAGGTCGGCCGCAATCGGCCGCATTCTCGCGCTTTTACAATTCCTCTATCATGGCATTACGCGCGCCAAGTTTCTCTGCCGCCATTTTACTCGTACAAACAGCACCACCGTTAGTTACCATTATCAAGTTAAACGCGGTTAGCTCTTCATGGCCATCACCATCAAAGTGCAGTGTGCAATGTGTACAACATAAGTTACTTAAGACACACTTTTCTAATGCTTTTGAGCAATAAAACTTGTTGTTTGGTGTTTTTTATTGATTTTTTAAGTTTTTGACAAGAAAAAATTGAAATTTTTTGTCTTTTGCTATTTTATAACATTTTCTTTCAAGATTAATATTATTTACGATTAAATTCGCTCTCATTTGTGTTTATTTTAATAAAATTAATTATTAAACCCCTAAACTCTTGAATTTTCCAGATTTTATTATCTTATCTCATAGAAAATTTCCTGCAGATTAATAATATTCAATCCGTTCCTCTCTATCACTTTTAGTTTTTAAGATAATCGCAATCAAATTATCGATGAAATTGACTTCACGCATTTCCTACACCCCTAACCTCTAATCTTCGACTATTACAGTAATTAACTTTAAACTCTTTACTACTAAGTCTATTATATATTTTTTCTAAGGCAACGGTCTTGTTGTAATTGCACGTCGTGGTGGTGTTTATTTTTAGTCATTAACGCGGCGTGACGTTGAGTCGTTTGTTGGTTGTATCGATTTTTCGCTTTGTACTATGCAACATTTTCCACATTGTAATTGCATTAATAGTGCAATGTAGACTTGCACAAATTACACGAGTCGTCCCACTTGTAACAATAAATTCGACTTTGTTAGGGTTGTAAATGTTACGAATGTAGAATGTTGCGAATGTTAACGTCTTCCTGTTTCCGCAATTTTATTCAACCTCTCTCTGCGATTACTTTTATACTATTCTTTTGATCGAAGACATAGTAAAGTGTATCTTTTTAAAATTTTTATTTTTTTACTTGTTGATTTTGTTTGTGCGCATGTTACCATGACAACCAACCATTAAAAAGTTGTTTATGTTTACTTAGTATTAAAATTTTACTGATAAGATACTGTCAATGTAACATAATGACAACATAATTCGACACCGGTATAATTTACCTTATAATTAAGGCATCAAGTCAAGTTGGTAGATAAACTGACAAATAATCAATAATAGAAATTATAACTTGTGTTTAATTCGATGTTTACACAACATTCATGCGTTTTTGCTTGTTTTTCTTGTTTTCTATACCTTTTTCTTTTAGAATTAGGTTAATAATTGTAAACTAATAATATTCAAATCAAAAACAATGCATAATAGTTATAAAAACTCACCGATGTACGTGTTGCATGTTATCATTATGAAATTTATAGATTTGCACACACAATTATTACGCCATGGTTATTTAAATGTATTGTTTTTATGAGCATATTGCAACATTTCTTTGATTGTTTGTTACTGACCACTACGAAGAAAAGCATAGACTTTGATTTGTTTATTGTTTATTGCGTTACGATTTTTGTATTCGAATTTTGCAAGTGCGACAACTTAACGTGACTAAAAATATATTCCCCTAGTTTCTGCTTTGAGTCATCAATTGAATTATGATTTAATTCATTTTTATAGAATTAAACATGTATATATTTACTCTATATAATATTGTATATATTTAATTACCGTAAAAGTGTTTTTATTGTCTTTTTTTGTAGTTTTTCTTGCTTTGAATTTCAAATTTTCAAATAATGATTGCCACTCTAAAGAAAATAAATTCCCTGGATAATTTTCTCCCACTTGGATAAAGCCACATCATGACGAAAACAAACCAAGTTGACAACTACCTACGAAGAATATAAATATTGATGAAGTTTAGTTAAATTATACAAATGAAACAGCATTTTTGCAAGTTATAGAAACATAATCTCACGTAGTAATATTCAAAATGTCAGCGGAGTACGAAGAAATCATAGCTGAAGAGGAAGAAGTCTCACAGAATCCATTGAATTATAGTAAGTAGCAACTTTTGCTACTAAACGAAAACAAATAAATAAATTAGTAATAAATCACGTAGTAAGCACCTGTACTTATCACTTATCTTTTTTTGTAGTTGTTTTTTTCTTTGAGAATTACGGATGGTACCTGGTCATTGCATCAATAGTTGTTGCCTATATCTACAGCAGAATAAGTCCATATCTCGAAGAATATGAAAAGAAAAGAGATAGATATGAGTATGAGCAGAATGTCTACAAAAGTAAGTTTATATAATTTACCTTTTTGTGTTGAATAATGTATTAATATTGAGTATGTTCACTGATTGTCCATCATTTTTCTGCAGAAACTGATAAATTGTCAAGTCTAAGAGTTGCCAGGGAAGAAGCACTGAAGAAAGTACAAGAACAGTACAACATCGACGCCGAACGATATGTCCTGAAACAAAAAGAAGTTAGTACATATTCTACAATTATTTTTTTATAATATACTTCCCATTGAATTAAAAATTTATTTAAATTTCCATTGATATCTTGTAGAAAGAAGCTAAAAAGCGTGAGGAATATCTTGCAAGACATGATGGTAAAGGAGGTGGAAGTAAACTAGGAAAATCAGGTAAATATTAATTGAAAGTTTATGTATTATGTGATGTTCTTATCCTAAATAATGTTTTTAGAATATAATCCACTTATGGGCGATTCATCAGGAAGCACATTCAAACCTAAAAAGAAATCAGCTTGCTCAGGAGGTGGTTGTGGTAAATAACAAATTTAAATCTGTGAACAAAAGTTTAATACAAAAAATTCCAAGAAAAATTAATACATTCTTATTTAGTGTATGAAGGGAATAATAATTTAATAATTTCTAGAAATGTTTTCGTGTACTTAACAAATTGACAAAAGATATGTTTGAAGTGCACTTGTTAGATTGACTAATATTTTGATTATTGAACAATAAATTAAAATATTATGAAATCAAAACATTGTTTAATGAGAAAGAAAATCTTAAACTATGTAACCGCCAAGTTGCTTGGAATCCTCTTTCTTTGATTAACGATTTGCTTGACATTTTCCATTGGAATCTTTCTATTCCGAAGCTTTTTTAACTGTTTGTAAATTGTGTAGAATTTGTTAGAATTTCAAATGTTCATTTCACAGTCCACTACTCTACTACTAGTCTATAACTACAACTAATACTACATACTACTACTACGACTACGTGCTTTCTACTACTACACTACACTACGAACTGTTCATAAACATATGAAACACCAACCCAAAACGACACAAAACACAAAATATAAAGATCGCTTACTTCAATATTTGTCAATCGCTTTCTTTTTACTTGAGTGTGACATCTTACATTATACATCTTCCGAATCTTCTTCATTTCACGATGTTTCTTCATAAAATTACGAAAAACTAAAAGAAATACTAAGCCAATTAAACAAATCATCACAATAAATGTTTCTGTTGACTCCACCTCATCATTAAGTGTTAGTGTAAAGTAATGAGTGTTATGAAAGTGTGTGTTGATGTGTACTTTGTCGTTCGCGTGATTCTAACGCGGATGGACACGGGTTGTCCATTATAACGAATTAGCAAAATTATAATGAATTAACAAGACGCCCGAGTTCCCTAAGAGGTTCCAGATGGGTGCATCTGTCATCACCTCCAAGAGTAGTGTGTGTTGTTTATGTGCCCCTCACCACCGACAGAAGTATCTGCCCATTCCTAGATGGGTATACAACATCCAAGCATCTACTTCCGAAGGTGATGTGGGGCTCGCGGTGGACTTAACCCGGTGTCCAATATTTCGGATTTGTGTGTATGTTGATGCCCTATGCCCAACCCCCCCGCCCCCTAAGTTGAAACCTCGGCGTGGGGAAAAATTATGTAGTCCAGCTTCTATATATAACAAAATTAAGAAAATTAATTAGTATTAATAAGTGTTAGTACTTTGTAAACATTTTCAATTAAAATATTACTTTCTAAAATGAAAATAAATAATTATATAAGTGTTTTGTTAACTTATTAAAAATTTAAATAATATTTTGAGTTGATTTTGATGATAATAATACTCACCACAGCATTTTTGCGGTTGTGCAAACCCTTAAGGGCAGCAGCCCATTCCTTGATGGGTGTACACATCGGACCCTGACCCCCAAAGGCTTTTTCTCGCTGGAAAACTGGATACATCACATTAGGTCATCCTTCATGATCTACCTCGGCGTGGATGGAACTGCACATCATTGCCTCTTCTTTAGCTAGGTTTAGGTTAACATTAATAACATTAATAATTGTTTAATTGTTTAGTAATAACAAAATGATTGAAATAATACTCACCACAATTTCTTTCCAACTTTACATACCCCTGAGGGCAGCAGCCCATTCCTTGATGGGTGTACACATCGGACCCTGACCCTCAAGAGTTCTTCCGGTCGGAAAGATGGCTGAATCTGGTGCATACCCTTCAGGACTGACCTCGGCGTGGATGGATGGATCTTCTTCTTCTTCTTCTTCTTCTGTTAACATGGAAAATATTAGAATAAATATTATTCTGACAAAAATTTTATGGTCATGTTATTCACCTCAACTTCTTTGAAATGTGCCTTATTTTAGTAGAACGCCTCATCTCTCCATGGCCTCAGGATGGAAGGATCTTCTTGGCCCTCAGGATGGAAGGCTCTTCTTGTTTCGCATTCAAAAACGAGACATAAGAACGTGCAACATGACTATGATTATTGACTTTCGTGCAGTTAAAACATGCTGTTGATCTGTAAAGGAATTATTAAGAATTATTTCATTTTCCCGCACTATATAGACACACTGGCGCATTATTAATAATACACTTCTCACTGCACTGCACTGCACTGCACTGCACATAAAATTGATATCAGCATTCTATTCCAATTCTACATGTTTTCCAATAATTCATAAGGACTTCCATTAATCTGTAGAAACAAACAAGCAGAACAAACTTGTGATTAGTAAAATTCAAGAATAAAACACAAAACAACACAGAACACATCAATGATTGCCGAGCATCCAGGACCCTGCAACATAAATTAAAAGATTAATTATCAATTCAAACAAAACGCCCTGAAAACATAGAAGAAATATTTAATTAGTTGCTGAAAGAAAAACATAATTCATTAGTAAGGATTTTTTGGATTTTTGGAACTCATTCACACTCGCAATACAAATACATAATAAATAATAACACAAATATCAATAAAACATATAAAAATACACAAATTGCTGTAAGAAAAAGACATTATGAAGGATAAGGAAGGACCTAAAACCCTGCCTAATGTCAACCAATAGCTAAATCGCGATTATCCTGAAAGCGGAAAAAGATTAGTACACAAATATCTAAAACAATTTATCATTCACACATCTAAGAGGAGTAGGAGACTTAAAACTATTTTAATAAGACCTGCCTTTGGTCCCTACCTAAGTACATGAGATAGCTTTGTGAGCACAGACCGATTATAATAAAAAGTGCCCGCCTAACACCGACGCGTTTGGCGATCTGTGCTCGGAATGCAAAACGGTTTTGCAACGAAAACAAAAGTGACCGACTGCCACATCCCAGCGGCAGCAGCCGGCTTTTGGTTGCCCAAAATTTAACACGACATACACAAATGAAATGAAATACAATACAGTGCAACACAATCATACCAAAAATATAAACAATTCATTCAACAGGCATGCCATTCATACTTATATTGCAAGCAGATTGCAAATCTCTGCTTCAAAATGCCGCGCGCGATGCATTGAATTAATTTGTGTTAATTTGTGGTGTTCTGCGTGAACAGAACGTGTAAGTGTTGTGTTGAGAATGTAAGGTAATAGGTGTGCCTAGACACACCAAATACCCAAGAACTCCGCATTCGCCGAAACGAACCGAGCAAAAGTGTATTGTGAGTGTTTATAGTGTGTGTGTGTGTGTGTGTGTGTGTGTGTGTGTGTGCGTAGACCGGTTGATTTTACTCGAATATAATATTTAAAAGTGTTCGCGATAACACTTAATTGAAACTTAAAAACGCGGTGCAATGTTTGCGGTAATACGGTAATACTACAATCAGTTCAAATTCAAATTAAATAAAAGCAAATCGCGGATTTTTTTATTTCGGATTTTCAGAAAGTCTTTAGATTAAGACGTTAATATTAATTACGTTGAAATATTATGATTCGCGGATGAATTACGGATTTGCGGATGAATTAAGTTTTCGCGTTAAACTTGAAAGAATGACTATTTATAGATTTGAACTGATATTTAATGAATCGCGACCCGGATACATGCGATAGTTCATAAAATTACTCACTACTTTTGTACATCCGGCGTTTCTAGCAATGCTGGGTGGATTAGCCGAATGACCAAGTACTGGTTTGACATGCCACCCCCAGATACAAGAGTGACATGTGTGCGCCAGCCTTCTGATCATGGGCATCACCACTACCTACCTTAATCCGCTCCTCGAGATAACAGCTCACATCTCGCAGGAGGATGCGTTGAATTTAGAAGTCCAGCGTCGGGCGAGATTGACCCCTCTCTGGACTCAAGACCATCTTATTGGAATGTCCTCTCATCGTAGATTTGGATTGATCAGGTCCGTTTGGATTGGATTGGTTTGGCCTCTGATTGAAGAGATGAAGATGTGAAGAAGTGACGAAAACCTGAAGCAAATGAAAATATTAGTTATTTACATACCATATGATTAAATTGAGTTAATTAAAGATGATTTTAATTTAAAACTTAAATATTTACCTTTGCTGTTGTGTCCTCCTTTAAATATTATATTGGAATGATTTATTGTTTCAGGATTGATGGTTATTTTTGCTGATAAGTATCTGAAACAGATAAAAGAAAATAATTAATTTTAAGTATTTAGTAGTTTTTTTTATGATTTGATGAATTATTATTAATTTATTTGATTGTTTATACTTACAGATTAAGTTGATTGACCACCATTCTGCAGTAAACTATGATTATTATCAATCATAAAAGTTCTAAAAGCAAATTAAAACAAAAAATTAATTGGTTTTTATTTCTAGATAAGTAATTTTTCAATTATTTTAATATATTTCCAATGCTTACCGATTGATTCCAGTGTACGGCGCTTGTTAAAATGAGTTACTTCTTCATATTTAGATTAATTAATTGGATCTTGCGTTGTTCAGAGGCGGGCGGATATTCCTGTGCAGAAAGATTCTATAAATTTCAGAAAAAATAATTAAATAAGGTCCGGTATTATTACATGAATAGCTGTTATTATTAAATAATTCAATTGTTCGTGCTTACCAATTGATTTCAATGCACACAGTTACTTCAAGCAAGTTCACTTGTATAAGTTAGCTAGTTAGTTAGTCAAGTTGGCTCCTTTTTAACTCTATGACATTTGACATCTTGTCAAAAAGTAAACTTGCGCAAAAAGCGACTCTACTTTAGTTCACAAACACGCCAGCAGCGCCAAAAATAGCGACACCAACGACACGCACCCAACGAATCTCAAAATCTGAATGAAACATGGCCGTCGGGCGCTCTCCATTTATAGATTCCGAGGTGGAGTAGAGGTGGGGGTAAAAATTTTCAAAAACCGTTTTTAAAAAATTTTGATTTAGATCGTTTCTAATAATTCTAACTTTACAGAAAAATTCTAAAAATTAAATTATGAATTATCATATCCTTTTTTCCTTTATTAACCCCGTAAATCAGTCACAATTAATTTTTAAAAATTGCTCCAAAATTACAAGGCCTCTTATGGAGCACAAATCCAATTAGAAAAAAATTAATGAAATGCATCGTGAATGGTATCAAAATGTAGGCATGTACGCGCTCTTTTCAACGGTGCCTAACACGAGTCGTTTAGTGGAGGGGTTTGGGAGTAATTCACCACGAAAGATTCAGTCGGTCACGAGTTGTCAACCGAAAAAAAGCACATGCTGTCAAGTGATACTTTTGTGAATTTCTCTTCAATCGCACATTAAAACCAAAATCTGACCGCGGCATCGTGTTCCTCGGGTCCGATTACACCCCAGAAACTGTTATCACTTCGAAAATCGCTTTAATTAATAGTTTTTCACGTGTCTGAAAATATCAAGTGTAAACATTGAGTTTGCAGGAAGATTACGTCTTTCCTGTTGAATAAAATGCAATCCCACCTGCGGCAATCGACAGGCCAGCTTATAAACTATAGATTTCGATAACTTTGGAGTTGTGATACGTTTTGTGGATGCTGTGATCAACATGAAAACACATCATGTGTCAAAACCACCATCAACCACCTGTTTGAGGCCCCCTGGAAGTTTATTTCAAATGCTGGCAAGCCAAACACAACTGGGATGTATTGTTTATAACATTGGCTAAGTGCTCAGTGCATTTGTTAGGATTTTTATGGTGTGTATAAGAAAATCCTGTTCAGTCATGTTCAGGTTCATCGAATGAAAGGTTATCAACTGCATTGTTTCAGTTTTCCTGTTCTGTTGGATGTAATTTCACCTGGAAAATGTTCTAGTATGGATTAGGAATAGTTAATGAAGGTTTCCCTGCAATGGATTAGAGTATAAACAATTTCATACTTTTTCTACTGTGTTTTCATACTGTGTTTACATTGTGTTACAATTAAAATGTCAATTTAAATGTATATTTCTTAGTGTAAATCTGTATAGATTGAAATAAAACTTCTTGTGTTCTTTGACAATGTGTTATTGTTTATAATAAACATGATTTTACATGCTACAGGTTGCTATCTTTTGTTTGTGTGTTGGAAGTTCAACTGGACAGGTCAAGCAAACAAGTTGGTGTTCCTATTGGAGATGATAACATTGAAAGGAGAGAGAAATTTACAATTCTGACTGGTGCAACTTGTTAGACTAGACTAGGTACTACTGTAGATGTAGCATTTTCAATGATTTTTAATTAATTTTATTTGTTTTTGCAGAAAATTAGGTATTGGTTAATTGGATAGGTCAGGTTAGGGATGTTACATATTCTTGATGATAACTTTGGAATGAGAAGGAATTTTGCAATTTTGACTGCAGAAGATTAATCAGAAGGTCCGATTACATCTGTAGACATGTTTTATAAATGAGATGATTGGATATTTTTGCTTAAACTGAGGTGGTGCTTGAAGTTAACTTGCAGAGCAGGAATCAAAGCAGGATTAGCAAGTAAATCAAAAATTGTGAAAAGGAGGAATAAATATATGAGTTTATGACAACAAAAGCTTTAAGACTGTTTAACTAGCTTTCATTTGATATGATATTTGAATAATTTGGATGAAAATTAACAAAGTTATGAACAAAAGGAGAAAACAAAAACAAAAAATTATATATTTATTAGTGCAAATCTGTATACATTGAAATAAAACTTTTTGTGTTCCTTGACAATGTGTTATTGTTTATAATAAACATGATTTTACATGCTACAGGTTGTTATCTTTGGTTAGTGTGTTGGAAGTCCAACTGGACTGGTCAAGCAAACAAGTTGGTATTCTTATTGTGGGGGTGAGATAACAATGCAAGGAGAGAGAAATTTACAATTCTGACTGTTTGCAGCTTGTTAGACAAGACTAGGTACTCCTGTAGATGTAGTATTTTGGTGATTTTTAATTAATTTTATTTGTTTTTGCAAGAAAATTTGTGGAATGGGTTAGTGAAGTTTAGGTCAGATTAGAGATGTTTACCATATTCTTGATAACTTTGAAATTAGAAAGGAATTTTGGAATTCTGATTGCAGAAAGGAAGTAAATCAACAGGTCCGATTACAACTATAGACATGTTTTATAAATTGAGATGAGTGGATATTTTTACTTAACCTGAGGTGCTGCTTGAAGTTAACTTGCAGAGCAAGAATCACAACAGAGGGTAAGCAAGTAAATCAAAATTGTGAAAAGCTGCCTTCATCTCTCTTTCAGTAGTAGAGTAATTTATTTCAGCCGTATTTAGTGATCTACTTGCAAATGCTATCGGTTTATCACTTCCAATTTCGCCTTGTGATAATATTACTCCTAGCCCTTTTTTGCTCGCGTCACATGTTATAATAAATGGTTTATCGAATTGTGGATAGATTAAGATTGGCTCTGTAGTTACTGCCTGTTTTAATTCGTTAAATCCTATTTCACATTCAGGGGTCCAAACAAATTTGACATTCTTTTTTAACAGTGAGTTCAAGGGATACGCTATTTTTGAAAAATTGTTAATAAACTTCCTATAATATCCTACAAGACCAAGGAATGATTTTACGTCTTTAGGCGTTTGTGGTGTTTTAAAGTTTATCACCGCTTTTATTTTATTTGGATCCGGCTTAATGCCATTTTCCGTAATAACATGACCTAAAAATACACATTCCTTCTGCAAGAATTTACATTTTTCTATGTTAATCTTTAATTTACTTTCTCTAAATCTTTGTAGCACTTCTATAATTTTCTTTTCATGATCTACCAGTGTATTTGCATATACAACAATATCATCTACATAAACGAAACACTTTATTCCAATTAAACCTGATAGTATTGAGTTCATTAATCTTTGAAATGTTGCACTCGAGTTCTTAAGTCCTTGTGGCATTCTCTTGTACTGAAAATGTCCTGAGTCGGTACTGAACGCTGTCTTTTCTCTATCATCTACGTGCAAAGGTATGATGATATCGCTTATTAAATCTAGAGTCGTAAAATATTTTGAACGTCCCAATTGATCCAAAATGTCTGTAATATTCGGTAATGGATAAACATCTATTTATTTACATTTTATCGTTAAAGCTTTTCCTAAAGAATCCTATCCCTTTACTCTGTATTGAATTTCTCCTGTTTTGTGGACTTCTTTGGTATTAGTAGTAGTGGCGCATTATATGACATTGACTGTATTTCTATATAATATGCGTCGGCCCAGGCATTTTGACCCAATTTTATTTATTTATAATTTGCTTTTTGCGTGGCAAATTAAGGAGTTTCACAAAAAATATTGGTGCGTTATCACTTGTTGTTATTCATGATTCATTTGCGTCCGTGTGACGGAAACTTGTCACCACTGGCAAATGTACGCTATATCTTCATATTCATAGTTGATTTATAAATAGATTCAATTTCTTCTCTGATTTAGTTTGGAAACATCAATAAAATTTACTATCTGCTCAACTCTTTATGGCTGCGATTTACCTCGCTATAATTAAAATATTGCAATTTGTTTCCGTTTCGTCAATATTTACTGGTTCAAATTCAATAGATGGATTTTCTATCATATATTCCTTTTCAGTAAGTTTATGATTTTAATTTAAATTCATTGTTTTTATATTTGTCAAACTTGTTCACTGGTTATTACTTCCTCATTAAAATCTGAATTTAGGGGCAATAAATTGTTTGATCTTGAGAAATACCTTAATTTTTAGTTATTATTTCATGCAGGTGGCATAAATCAAATTAGAAGCATCGACTGTATCGGTTAAATATGTAATCATTTTAATTTAAATGTTTGGTCTTGGTATGATATTTACCCATTGTATTTGTGAGATAATATCCCTTCCAATAAATTCGAGAATTAATTTCGTCTGGAACTAACTTGGAACTTAAATGAAAAATTCGTGGAGATCTATAACTGGTGTTAAACAATACGAAGACCCAGTGTTTTTATTTTACGGAACATTTGTACTCCTACAATATTAGTTTATCTTCTTTGCGTTTATATTTTGTTTGTCAACTGTTGGTTTTCTTTGTCAAGCTTAATTGAGCCATACGTATCGACTATCAACTTTATATGTTCATATCTACTTGTTCTCGATTTGTTTTACATAAATTATTTCATTAGTCATTAATTCTTATTACGATATTCATTTCTTTATCCTTTTGATGATTATTAACTCATGTTCCCAATATTGTCATTTAAGATATATCACCCTCGATCTTTGTGTACTGTAGCACTTGTAATGCGGTTTATTGGTTTGTTCTCGAACTGACCTGCTGATTGGGAGCTCTCGTTTCGGTTTGTCAAGCGATTTATTCTGTTGTTTGATGTATTTTGGATTCGCTTTGATTACTTCCCTGATTGTTTTGTCCGACGGTTTGATAAATTTTCTCTGATAATTTATTGTTTATTTACTAACGCTTTGACTGAAGTTGTTATGGGGTCTAAACGTATTTTGTCTATTTCCATAATTATCTTGGTTACCTGGCCTTGTCCATAATTATTACTTTGTGTAAAATTTTGATGGTTTTCTGTAGAACTATACATTGATGGGTTTTGGTGGTTATTTCTATTACAAATTTCGCATTTTATGTGATTTCTCTGAAACCATGCATTGGTTTGTACTATGATTATTTCTCCCACAAATATTACAATTTTAATTTATTAAAATAGTGAATTCTTCCACCTTGTGTGAGACCAATCTCGCTTTCAATGTTCACTGCTTTCTTTCGGTGACGCTGCCATAGAGTCATTGGCTTCGCGTAGCAGTACGTTTTGAATTTTAAAGATTTAATAGCCCTCTTTTAAACCATTTGCACAAATCGTTTCTATTGTTTGGTCACCTCTTTCGGCAATTCTATAAGGGTGAGTTCTTAGAGTTTTATTCTGTAACGCATACGCGTCAATATTTTCATTACTACGTTGTTTGCGGTTTGATATTTCGTTTTATTGAATTGTAGGAATTGATTTTGTCACTTGTTTTAAAATTTTGAGTCAATTTAATACTAATTCGTCCCATGTATCAAACTCGAAGGTTCTTTGGCTCTTTCTATTAGATGCGCCGTGATTTTGAAAACCAATTATTGTATCGATGAAGTGCTAATATATCTTCACTAACAAGTTTGAATAATATTCATGATTAATAAGTAGTGTCTAATTTTGGGGACATCTTTCGTCAAATGCATCGGTATATCTATCGTCTTTTTTCACTAAATACGTTGTGGCCATTTTGATATTTATTTATTTACTCTTTGATTTATTATTATTATTATTATTTTTTATTTTTATTGTGTATATTCGGGGTAGTTCAGTCGATGGAGAAACTCAAACGAAATGTGAACTACTTACATGAACATTTTAACAACCATCACGACAGATTTGAACTTAACTTTAGTTGAATGGAATTGAAGAGACTTCGTTTCACTCGCTTCGGCCTGTTCTTCTTGGTTCTTCTTATGATGATGATGCCACTCCGTCAAATATTTTATTGAATTCGCATGCGTTGTTGTATGCAGGATCCGCCGCCGCTGTCATATGTTGGGGATGATGTTGTGAGCCTTTGCTCTTCGAACAACCCGATTCTTCTAACTTATTATTTCTTTCGGAAAGAAGAACTGAGCCAAGATTCTACTAAGTCTTTTGTTGCAAAATATTGACCAGAGGCCAATTACAAACTCTGCTTCTGGCTCGCCGGAAGGGTGACCGAACTCCACCGGTTGAGCTAAGACTAAATAATTTTAGCACTAATAATCTTAAACTAAACTTATCACGTAAAATACACTGAAGGACCAAGGGGTACAGCCGCTCGGGTCGGTGGCCATATAATGTTTATGCTAATGTGCGGTAGGTCTGTGCAAACCGTACCCCTTCGGCCGGGGAAATTTCAATAAGGTATTAGTGACGTAGAATATGAACTAAAACTAAAATTGCACGTATTTTCGCTCCGTCCCGAAGTAATGTGCAATAAACATAAATAAACCATAAATGATACGCTCATAACACGCGGTTTAATTAAGTTTTCGCGTTAAACTTGAAAGAATGACTATTTATAGATTTGAACTGATATTAATTGAATCGCGACCCGGGAACATGCGATAATTCATAAAATTACTCACTACTTATGTACATCCGGCGTTTCTAGCAATGCTGGGTGGATTAGCCGAATGACCAAGTACTGGTTCGACATGCCACCCCCGGATACAAGAGTGACATGTGTGCGCCAACCTTCTGATCATGGGCATAGCCACTACTACGCCTCCCGCTCCTCGAGATAACTGCTCCCTCTCACTAGGGAGGATGCGTTAATATTTAGAAGTCCAGCGTCGGGCGAGATTGACCCCTCTCTGGACGCAAGACCATCTTGTCGGAGTGCCCTGACCTCTCATCATAGATTTGGGTTGATCAGGTCCGTTTGGATTGGATTTGTCCTCTGCTTGATGGAATGAAGATGTGTTCAAAGTAACGAAAACCTGAAACAAAAAAAAAATTAGTTATTTATATAATATAAAATTCAATTAAAGATGATTTTAATTTAAAACTTAAATATTTACCATTGCTGTTGTGTCTTCCTTTACATATTAGATTGGAATGATTTATTGTTCCATGATTGGTGGTTATTTTTGTTGAGAAGTATCTGAAACAGATAAAAGAAAATAATTAATTTATCATTTTTAGTCGCTCTTTTATTAAATGATGAATTATTATTAATTTAGTTGATTGTTTATAGTGTTTATACTTACAGATGAGTTGAGTGACCACCACTTCAGTTTAGTTACTGGTTCATATTTGTTGTGAGATGATGTATTCTGCAGTAAACTGTGCTTATTATCAATCATAAAAGTTCTAAAAGCAAATTAAAACAAAAAATTAATTGTTTTTTATTTCTAGACAAGTATTTTTTTAATTGTCTTATTATATTTCTAATGCTTACCGATTGATTCCTGTGCACGCCGCTTGTTATAAGGAGTTATTTGTTGATATTTGAATTGAGATGTTGTGTAGTTTAGTGCTTGCAGGTTATTACAGTGCCGAACCATTCTGAAAATTTCAAAAAAAGTAATTAATTACGGTCCTGAACCATTACATGAATAGTTATTATTATTAAATAGTTCAATTGTTTGTGATTACCAATTGTGTGTCCAATATTTCGGATTTGTGTGTATGCTGATACCCCCCAGTTAAAACCTTGGCCTTGTGAAGAAATGATGTATTCCAACTTCTATATAAATAATTAAGTTTTTTGTTACGTTAATAAAAATTCCAATTAAATGAATAATATTTTGAGTAGAATTTGAATATAATAATACTCACCCTTAAGGGCTGCAGCCCATTTCTTGATGGGTAAACACATCGGACCCTGACCGATTGTTTGTAGAAGTAAATTATCCAATGTTGTCATTTTCCTGTGAACACAATTAAGAATTAAATTAAACGTTGGCTGTAGATATAAAAAGTTTTAAAAATACCTACTATTTTATAATTTGTCAATAATAATGATGAGGATTACCCATTAATTAAATTCTTCCAGTATTGTATTTGTTAAATTAATTTCTAGTACTTCAATAAATTCCAAAGCCATTCAAAAACCTACAAAATGAAATAAATCATCAAATAAGATTTAATATATTCGGTTATCACCCGATAAGATCAAATAAACATACCATTTCATCAAATTGTGATCATAATGATGAGAATTACATAATAATTAAGCATTCCAGCTTTGATTTGGATAAATATCAATATCTTCAAAGGGATTTTCTTCAAATACCTGCAAAACAAATCAATTATTCATCAATATATTAAATAAAATCAACTAAACATACCATTCCATCAAATCTCAGTCATAAAGATCTTCATCTTCTCTAAATTATTGTCTCAACATTGCAATCAAGTATTCAATGTGCGATAATTTCTTTCCAACCCATTATAAATCGGTGCATACTGATTAAGATTATTATTTCGTGGAATTAATAAATAAAATTAAAAAAATAAAAAGGACTTCCATTAAACTCTACAAACAAACAAGCAGAACAATTTTGTGATTAGTAAAATTCAAGAATAAAACATAAAACAACTCTAAAACACATCAACGATTGGATAGCATCCTGGACCCTGCAACATAAATTAAAATATTAATTATCAATTCAAACAAGACGCCCTGAAAACATAGAAGAAATATTTGGTGGATTTGCTGGGGAAAAGAAGCATAATTCATTAGTAAGGATTTTTGGATTTTGGAACTCATTCACTCACAATACAAATACATAATAAAATATCAAACAAATATCAATAAAACATACAAAATACACAAATTGCTGTAAGAAAAGACATTAATGGGATAAGGAAGGATACAAAACTTCCTGCCTAGTAATGTCAGCCAATAGCTAATCCATGATTATCTGAAAGCGGAAAAAGATTAGTACACAAATATCTAAAACAATTCATCATTCCACATCAGAGGAGTAGGAGACTTGAGCTAATTTAATAAAACCTGCCTTTGGTCCCTACCTAAGTACGTAGAGATAGCTTTGTGAGCACAGACCGATTATAATAAAAAAAATGCCCGCCCTATAACACCGACGCGTTTGGCGATCTGTGCTCAGGATGCAAACGGTTTGCAACGAAAACAAAAAGTGACCGACTCTACCACATCCCAGCGGCAGCAGCGGCTTTTAGTTTGCCCAAATTTAACACGACATACACAAATGAAATGAAATACAATACAGTGCAATACAATCATACCAAAAATATCAATAATTCATTCAACAGGCATGCCATTCATATATATTGCAAGCAGAGAAACCGTCTCTGATTCAAAATCACACTTGCCTGATACGTGAATTAAAGTGTGTTAATTTGGTGTTCTGCGTAGACAGAACGTGTAGTGTTGTGTTGAGAATGTAAGGTAAAGGGTGTGCCTAGAGTGCCTAGACACACCAAATACCCAAAAGAACTCTGCATTCGCCGAAACGAACCGAGCAAAAAGTGTACTGTGAGTGTTTATAGTGTGTGTGTGTGTGTGTGTGTGTTGACCGGTTGATTTTACTCGAACGTAATATTTAAGTGTTCGCGATAACACTTAATTGAAACTTAAAACGCGGTGCAATGTTCGCGGTAATACGGTAATAAGGTAATACTACAATCAGTTCAAATTCAAATTAAATAAAAGCAAATCGCAGCTTTTTTATTTCGGATTTTCAAACAGTCTTCCGATTAAGACGATAATATTAATTACGTTGAAATATATTATGATTCGCGGATGAACTAAGTTTTCGCGTTAAACTTGAAAGAATGACTATTTATAGATTTGAACTGATATTAATTGAATCGCGACCCGGATACATGCGATAGTTCATAAAATTACTCACTACTTTTGTACATCCGGCGTTTCTAGCAATGCTGGGTGGATTAGCCGAATGACCAAGTACTGGTTTGACATGCCACCCCAGATACAAGAGATGACATGTGTGCGCCAGCCTTCTGATCATGGGCATCACCACTACCTACCTTAATCCGCTCCTCGAGATAACTGCTCACATCTCGCAGGAGGATGCGTTGTATTTAGAAGTCCAGCGTCGGGCGAGATTGGCCCGCTCTCTTGACTCAAGACCATCCTGTGGGAGTGCCCTGTCCTCTCATCATAGATTTGGATTGTTCAGGTCCGTTTGGATTGGATTTGTCCTCTGCTTGATGGGATGAAGATGTGTTCAAAGTGACGAAAACCTGAAACAAATAAAAATATTAGTTATTTGTATAATATAAAAATCAATTAAAGATGATGTTTATTTAAAACTCTAATATTTACCTTTGCTGTCGTGTCTTCCTTTAAATATTAGATTGGAATGATTTATTGTTCCATGATTGGTGGTTATTTTTGTTGATAAGTATCTTAAACAGACAAAGAAAATAATTTATTTATCAATTTTAATCGTTTTTTATTCGATGAGTTATTAATTTATTTAATTGTTTATACTTACAGGTTAAGTTGATTGACCACCATTTATTTTGGTTACTTTACTGGTACATATTTGTTGTGAGATGATGTATTCTGCAGTAAACTGTGATTATTATTAATCACAAAATATTCTAAAGACAAATTTAAAAATATTAATTATGCTGTCTTTTATTTCTTGACAAGTTATTTTTAATTATTCTAAAATATTTCCAATACTTACCAGTGATCCCAGTTTACACCACTTGTTAAAATAAGTTATTAGTTGATATTTGAATTGAGATGTTGCGTTGTTTAGTGCTTGCAGGTTATTACAGTTATTACATGAATAGTTGTTTTATATCAAATAATTCGATTGTTTGTGCTTACCAATTGTGTGTCCAATATTTCGGATTTGTAGGTATGTTGATACCCCCCTCCTCTCGAGTTGAAACCTCGGCGTTGAGAAGAAATGATGTATTCCAACTTCTGTATAAATAATTAAGTTTTTTGTTACGTTAATAAAAATTCCAATTAAATGAATAATATTTTGAGTAGAACTTGAATATAATAATACTCACCCATAAGGGCTGCAGCCCATTCGTTGATGGGTAAACACATCGGACCCTGACCGATTGTGAGTAGAAGTAAATTATACAATGTTGTCATTTTCCTGTGAACACAAATCAATTCAGAATTAAATTAAACGTTGGATGGAGGTAGATATAAAAAGTTTTAAAAATACCTACCATTTTATAATTTGTCAATAATAATGATGAGGATTCTCCAATAATTAAATTCTTCAAATATAGTTTTTGTTAAATTAATTTCCAGGACTTCAATGAATTCCAAAACCATTCAATAACCTACAAAATGAAATAAATCATCAAATAAGACTTAATATATTCGGTTATCACGCGATATGATCAAATAAACATACCATCTCATCAAATTGTGATCATAATGATGAGAATTACATAATAATTAACCATTCCAGCTTTGATTTGGATAAATAGCAATATCTTCAAAAGGATTTTCTTCAAATACCTGCAAAACAAATCAATTATTCATCAACTGTTAAAATCAATTAAAATCAACTAAACATACCATTCCATCAAATCTCAGTCATAAATATCTTCATCTTCTTTAAATTATTGCCACAACATTGCAATCAAGTATTCAATGTGCGATAATTTCTTTCCAACCCATTATAAATCGGAGCATACTGATTAAGATTATTATTTCGTGGAATTAATAAATAAAATTAAAAAAATAAAAAGGACTTCCATTAAACTCTACGAACAAACAAGCAGAACAATTTTGTGATTAGTAAAATTCAAGAATAAAACACAAAACAACACAGAACATATCAATGATTGCCGAGCATCCTGGACCCTGCAACATAAATTAAATGATTAATTATCAATTCAAACAAAACGCCCTGAAAACATAGAAGAAATATTTAATTAGTTGTACGAAGAAAAACTATAATTATTCATTATTGTTAAGAGTTTTTGGATTTTTGGAACTGTTATAAAATAATAAATGGTAATAGAATATAAAACTAAAACTAAATACACAATATTTCTAACTCAAAAATCCAAGTAATGTGCAATAAACATAAATAAACCATAAATGATACGCTCATAACACGCGGTTTAATTAAGTTTTCGCGTTAAACTTGAAAGAATGACTATTTATAGATTTGAACTGATATTAATTGAATCGCGACCCGGGAACATGCGATAATTCATAAAATTACTCACTACTTATGTACATCCGGCGTTTCTAGCAATGCTGGGTGGATTAGCCGAATGACCAAGTACTGGTTCGACATGCCACCCCCGNATACAAGAGTGACATGTGTGCGCCAGCCTTCTGATCATGGGCATAACCACTACCTACCTTACTCCGCTCCTCGAGATAACTGCTCACATCTCGCAGGAGGATGCGTTGTATTTAGAAGTCCAGCGTCGGGCGAGATTGACCCCTCTCTGGACGCAAGACCATCTTGTCGGAGTGCCCTGACCTCTCATCATAGATTTGGGTTGATCAGGTCCGTTTGGATTGGATTTGTCCTCTGCTTGATGGAATGAAGATGTGTTCAAAGTAACGAAAACCTGAAACAAAAAAAAAATTAGTTATTTATATAATATAAAATTCAATTAAAGATGATTTTAATTTAAAACTTAAATATTTACCATTGCTGTTGTGTCTTCCTTTACATATTAGATTGGAATGATTTATTGTTCCATGATTGGTGGTTATTTTTGTTGAGAAGTATCTGAAACAGATAAAAGAAAATAATTAATTTATCATTTTTAGTCGCTCTTTTATTAAATGATGAATTATTATTAATTTAGTTGATTGTTTATAGTGTTTATACTTACAGATGAGTTGAGTGACCACCACTTCAGTTTAGTTACTGGTTCATATTTGTTGTGAGATGATGTATTCTGCAGTAAACTGTGCTTATTATCAATCATAAAAGTTCTAAAAGCAAATTAAAACAAAAAATTAATTGTTTTTTATTTCTAGACAAGTATTTTTTTAATTGTCTTATTATATTTCTAATGCTTACCGATTGATTCCTGTGCACGCCGCTTGTTATAAGGAGTTATTTGTTGATATTTGAATTGAGATGTTGTGTAGTTTAGTGCTTGCAGGTTATTACAGTGCCGAACCATTCTGAAAATTTCAAAAAAAGTAATTAATTACGGTCCTGAACCATTACATGAATAGTTATTATTATTAAATAGTTCAATTGTTTGTGATTACCAATTGTGTGTCCAATATTTCGGATTTGTGTGTATGCTGATACCCCCCAGTTAAAACCTTGGCCTTGTGAAGAAATGATGTATTCCAACTTCTATATAAATAATTAAGTTTTTTGTTACGTTAATAAAAATTCCAATTAAATGAATAATATTTTGAGTAGAATTTGAATATAATAATACTCACCCTTAAGGGCTGCAGCCCATTTCTTGATGGGTAAACACATCGGACCCTGACCGATTGTTTGTAGAAGTAAATTATCCAATGTTGTCATTTTCCTGTGAACACAATTAAGAATTAAATTAAACGTTGGCTGTAGATATAAAAAGTTTTAAAAATACCTACTATTTTATAATTTGTCAATAATAATGATGAGGATTACCCATTAATTAAATTCTTCCAGTATTGTATTTGTTAAATTAATTTCTAGTACTTCAATAAATTCCAAAGCCATTCAAAAACCTACAAAATGAAATAAATCATCAAATAAGATTTAATATATTCGGTTATCACCCGATAAGATCAAATAAACATACCATTTCATCAAATTGTGATCATAATGATGAGAATTACATAATAATTAAGCATTCCAGCTTTGATTTGGATAAATATCAATATCTTCAAAGGGATTTTCTTCAAATACCTGCAAAACAAATCAATTATTCATCAATATATTAAATAAAATCAACTAAACATACCATTCCATCAAATCTCAGTCATAAAGATCTTCATCTTCTCTAAATTATTGTCTCAACATTGCAATCAAGTATTCAATGTGCGATAATTTCTTTCCAACCCATTATAAATCGGTGCATACTGATTAAGATTATTATTTCGTGGAATTAATAAATAAAATTAAAAAAATAAAAAGGACTTCCATTAAACTCTACAAACAAACAAGCAGAACAATTTTGTGATTAGTAAAATTCAAGAATAAAACATAAAACAACTCTAAAACACATCAACGATTGGATAGCATCCTGGACCCTGCAACATAAATTAAAATATTAATTATCAATTCAAACAAGACGATACTTATATTGCAAGCAGATTGCAAATCTCTGCTTCTAAATGCCGCGCGCGATGCATTGAATTAAATTGTGTTAATTTGTGTTGTTCTGTGTGAACAGAACGTGTAAGTGTTGTGTTGAGAATGTAAGGTAATAGGTGTGCCTAGACACACCAAATACCCAAGAACTCTGCATTCGCCGAAACGAACCGAGCAAAAGTGTACTGTGAGTGTTTATAGTGTGTGTGTGTGTGTGTGTGTGTTGACCGGTTGATTTTACTCGAACGTAATATTTAAGTGTTCGCGATAACACTTAATTGAAACTTAAAAACGCGGTGCAATGTTCGCGGTAATACGGTAATAAGGTAATACTACAATCAGTTCAAATTCAAATTAAATAAAAGCAAATCGCGGCTTTTTTTATTTCGGATTTTCAAACAGTCTTCCGATTAAGACGATAATATTAATTACGTTGAAATATTATGATTCGCGGATGAACTAAGTTTTCGCGTTAAACTTGAAAGAATGACTATTTATAGATTTGAACTGATATTAATTGAATCGCGACCCGGATACATGCGATAGTTCATAAAATTACTCACTACTTTTGTACATCCGGCGTTTCTAGCAATGCTGGGTGGATTAGCCGAATGACCAAGTACTGGTTTGACATGCCACCCCCAGATACAAGAGAGACATGTGTGCGCCAGCCTTCTGATCATGGGCATCACCACTACCTACCTTAATCCGCTCCTCGAGATAACTGCTCACATCTCGCAGGAGGATGCGTTGTATTTAGAAGTCCAGCGTCGGGCGAGATTGGCCGCTCTCTTGACTCAAGACCATCCTGTGGGAGTGCCCTGTCCTCTCATCATAGATTTGGATTGTTCAGGTCCGTTTGGATTGGATTTGTCCTCTGCTTGATGGGATGAAGATGTGTTCAAAGTGACGAAAACCTGAAACAAATAAAAATATTAGTTATTTGTATAATATAAAAATCAATTAAAGATGATTTTTATTTAAAACTCTAATATTTACCTTTGCTGTCGTGTCTTCCTTTAAATATTAGATTGGAATGATTTATTGTTCCATGATTGGTGGTTATTTTTGTTGATAAGTATCTTAAACAGACAAAGAAAATAATTTATTTATCAATTTTAATCGTTTTTATTCGATGAGTTATTAATTTATTTAATTGTTTATACTTACAGGTTAAGTTGATTGACCACCATTTATTTTGGTTACTTTTACTGGTACATATTTGTTGTGAGATGATGTATTCTGCAGTAAACTGTGATTATTATTAATCACAAAATATTCTAAAGACAAATTTAAAAAATATTAATTATGCTGTCTTTTATTTCTTGACAAGTTATTTTTTAATTATTCTAAAATATTTCCAATACTTACCAGTGATCCCAGTTTACACCACTTGTTAAAATAAGTTATTAGTTGATATTTGAATTGAGATGTTGCGTTGTTTAGTGCTTGCAGGTTATTACAGTCGAGAAGCATTCTAAAATGGGTGTACACGTCGGACCCTGATGTTCAAGAGTTCTTCCGGTCAGAAAGCTGGCTGAATCTGGTGCACACCCCTCAGGACTGACCTCGGCGTGGATGGAAGGACTTTCTTCTTCTTCTTCTTCTTCTTCTGTTAACATGGAAAATATTAGAATAAATATTATTCTGACAAAAAATTTATGGTAATGTTATTCACCTCAACAACTTCTTTGAAATGGGCCTTGTTTTAGTAGAACGTCTCATCTCTCCTTGACCTCAGGATGGAAGGATCTTCTAGTTTCGCATTCAAAGGTGAGACATAACAACGTGCAACATGACTATTTCAAACAGTGACTTTTCGTGCAATCGTGCAAACTGTTGATCTGTAAAGAAATGATTAAATATTTCACGACACTCCCGCACTCGCACTAACACTTGTATAACGGCCCGCACGATATACTTCAACACTCGCGCACTATTAATAATTCACAACACTTCACTATAAGTTGATATCAGAATTTAACCATTTCCATTTTTATTTCATTTTTCTTACTGAGATGTATCCAATTCCATTTATTTTCAGTTGAGGTTGATATTTTTCTTGATAAGTTTCTTCTTCTGGGGTTTTGCCTTCTGTCTTCTGTTCTTCTAAATAGTTGTTGATTATTTTAAAACACCATACTTCACACTCCCGTAGTATATAAACACACTCCCGCACTATATAAAAACACACAAACACAATTATTTATCATAGTTGTTATTCATATCCAATGCCAATTTCCAATTTGATTCAATTATCCCATTTTTTTCATTGTATCTAACTTGAAGTTGATTCTTTGGTTCAGGATCCATTATATCTTCGACTTCTCGTAATTTCGAAATAATTCGGTGCGCCAATATTTTTCATTTTCTTAATCTTCATACATCTTTGGGAAAATTCTCCATCTGCTTGGTTTCTTCGTGTCTTATTATAAATGATGCAATTTGAAGTTGGCTGCCTGCAAATGTTTTTCCCAGAAAATAATAAAACTCACCTCAGTTTCTTTCCAGTTTTACATACCCCTGAGGGCAGTAGCCCTTTCCTTGATGGGTATACACATCGGGCCCTGATCCCCAAAGGCGGAAAGATAGCTGAGTTGAGACTTTCAGGATCGACATCGGCGTTAGGGGAACTGCATCACATCGGCTTCTTCTTCTTCGTCTTCAGCTAGGATTAACATTAATAAATTAAATGAAATAAAAATCTTGTAATAAAAGTTGATTGTAATAAAACTCACCTCAGTTTCTTTCCAGTTTTGCATACCCCTGAGGGCAGTAGCCCATTCCTTGATGGGTATACACATCGAGCCCTGACCCCCAAAGGCGGAAAGATAGCTGAGCCGAGACCTTCAGTATCGACCTCGGCGTGGACGGATAACATCTTCTTCTTCGGTTTCTGTTAATAGTAAAATATATATAAAATTAAATATTATTTTGACCATAAATTAATTGTAATTGTAACTCACCTCAACTTCTTTTGAAATGTGCCTTATATCAATAGAACGCCTCATCTCATCTTGGTCCTCGGATGGAAGAATCTTCTTGTTTCGCATTCAAAAACGAAACATAACAACGTGCAACATGACTATTTCAAACAGTGACTTTTCGTGCAATCGTGCAAACTGTTGATCTGTAAAGAAATTATTAAATATTTCACGACACTCCCGCACTCGCACTAACACTTGTATAACGGCCCGCACAATATACTTCAAAACTCGCGCACTATTAATAATTCACAACACTTCACTATAAGTTGATATCAGCATTTAACCATTTCCATTTTTATTTCATTTCTCTTTCTGAGATGCATCCAATTCCATTTATTTTCAGTTGAGGTTGATATTTTTCTTGATAAGTACCTTCTTCTGGGGTTTTGTCTTCTGTCTTCTGTTGTTCTAAATAGTTGTTGATTATTCTAAAACACTATACTTCACACTCCCGCACTATTTAATCACACTCGCGCACTATATAAAAACACACAAACACAATTATTAATCACAGTTGTAATTCATATCCAATACCAATTTGATTCAATTTTTCCATTTTTCTCGTTGTATCTAACTTGAAGTTCATTCTTTAGTTGTTACAGTTGAGTCAGGATCTATTTTATCTTCGACTTCTTATAATTTCTCGTTAATTCGTTGCGCCAATATTTTTCATTTTCTTAATCTTCATACATCTTTGGGAAAATTCTCTTTCTTCTTGGTTTCTTCGTGTCTTATTATAAATGATGCAATTTGAAGTTGGCTGCTTGCAAATGTTTTTCTCCAGAAAATAAAATCTAATTCAATCTTTGGGTATCATTCTTCATTTTATTCTGTTCCGATTGTTGCTGACCCAATGTTGTATTGTTTTAATTTATGTTATTTATGATGATGTGAAAAATGCGTAAGTGTAGTTGTGTTAAAAATGTCGGATAAGCTGTGCCGAAGCACAGCAATACCCTAGAGCCCAGTCAATGATCATGAACAGGGTAGAAAGTGTAAGTGTATGTGTGTGTGTGTATGTAAGTGTAAAAACTGATGAAACTTGATTTTCACTCCCGTACTATAATTCAACCCACGCGCACTATATAAACACACTCGCGCACTATATAAAAATGCACAAACACAATTATTTATGACAGTTGATACTTCTATCCAATTCCTATTTTCATTCCATTTTTTTCGTTGTATCTAACTTGTAGTTCATTATTTAGTTGTTTCTGTTAATTCAGGATCCATTCTATCTTCGACTTCGTTTCTCATTTGGAATAATTCAGTGCGCCTTTATTTTCCATTTTCTTAATGGAATCCACGTAAATCTTTGGGAAAATTCTCCATCTGCTTGGTTTCTTCGTGTCTTATTATAAATGATGCAATTTGAAGCTGCCTGCACATGTTTTCCCCAGAAAAGAAAATCTAATTCAATATTTGAGTATCATTCTTAATTTGATTCGGTTACGATTGTTGTTGACCCAATGTTGTACGGTTTTATTTTATGTTATTTATGATGATGTGAAAAATGCGTAAGTGTAGTTGTGTTAAAAATGTCGGATAAGCTGTGCCGAAACACAGCAATACCCTAGAGCCCAGTCAATGATCATGAACAGGGCAGAAAGTGCAAGTGTATGTGTGTGTGTGTGTGTGTAATTGTTGACCGATTGACTCTAAGTATTTTAATGCAAAATTGAAATGAAGTTCAGTTGAAATTAAATCAGATTTTGTTTACCGAATATAAACGAATACAAGTTTCCAATTGATACTGACTGGTTCTTGGTTGCCGTCCCATTTTTAAAGAATTTTCGACGATTGTCTCATTTCAAAAATCAATTCCACCCATTTAAGATCTTCTTCTTCCTTTGGTATATTGCAGAAATCCTTTCCCATCATATTAGAATCCTGTTTCTTAAATTATCTTCTTTATCCATTGATGAATAATGATGGATTGACATTTGCAGCAGCAAAGCATTCAGCTTTTCAAGTTTTTTATAAGACACAAGGACTAGTAGTAAATGATTATTAATACACTGATATCAATGATTTTACCAGTTCATCAATCACTTCAAATACCTGTAACAAACAAACAAGCAAACAAAGTTGTGATTAGTAAATTTCAAGAATGGAACTCAAAACAACACAGAACATCCACAACGGCCTAGCATCCAGGATCCTGCAACATAAATTAAAATATTAGTTATCAATTCAAACAAAACGCCCTGAAAACATTGAAGAAACATGTGATTAGTACGTAGAAAGTGCTGAAAGAAATACATAATTCATTAATGAGGATTTTTGGAACTCATTCACACACACAATACAAATACATAATAAAAATAGCACAAATAACAATAAAAAATACGAAAAATAAACAAATGTCACCTAAAAGAGAAATAAATTCGATTAGTACACACATATAAATTGCTGTAAGAAAAAAGACATTAATAAGGATAAGGAAGGACCTAAACCCCTGCCTAATGACAACCGATAGCTAATTCGCGATTATCCTGCAAGCGGAAAAGATTAGTACACAAATTTCTAAACAATATTCATCATTCACACAGCTAAAAGGAGTAGGATACTTATAACTATTTTAATAAGACCTGCCTCTGTCCCTACCTAAGTACATGAGATAGCTTAGTGAACACAAACCGCTTATAATAAAAAAGAGCGCACCTAACCCGCGACGCGTTAGACGATTTGTGCTCAATGTGCAAAACGATTTTGCAACGAAAAGAAAAGTGACCGACTGCTACATCCCAGCGGCAGCAGCCGGCTTTTGGTTGCCCAAAATTTAACACGACATACACAAATGAAATGAAATACAATGCAACACACGCATACAAAGTAATAATTCATTCAACAATCAATCCATTCATTCTTAAAATTGTTCACTTTGCAGATTTAACTCTGCTAAAAAATGCCCCGACCGATGCATTGATTTGATTAGTGTTATTTGTGGTGTTCTGCGTGAACAGAACGTGTAAGTGTTGTGTTGAGAATGTAAGGTAATGGGTGTGCCTAGACACACCAAAAACCCAAAAACTCCGCATTCGCCGAAACGAACCGAGCAAAAGTGTAAGTGATTGTGTTGTGTTTAGTGTTTGTGTGTGTGTGAGTGTGAGATTTTACTTGCTTTCGTGCGAAAACGGATAATAAACAAAATTCGGTTGAAATGAGAGCAAATTATTAAAATGTAAGCAAAGTGTTCACGGTGACACATTATTATTAATGAAATTAATACAAATTGTTAATAAACTTTGAGTTTTTGAGTTTGACACGCGATTGAATTTACCGCGATCG